GAATTATTTTAATGAGATTTGTTCGGGACGCAAGACGTCGCTGCGAATTCAGCGAACTAGTTAACTCGTTTCAACCGAAATTGTTGGCTAACGAGTTCCGGTCGCGTGGCCGACAAGCCCGCAAACAGAAGAGTTCGGGAAAATCCTGGCGAATTCAGCCAATCGAACATGGCACTCGAACGATCTGCCGTTTGCTCTCGATTCATCAATTTTTCAATTTTCGCACATTCTGCCGTGACGTTACCGTTCTCTCTTGTTTTTCTCTGTTGACAATGACAAGTGCTTTTCCACGGGACACGTCGAACGTGATTACTCGTAACAAGTGAAATACATGGTCATTAATGCACTCTTAAACAATAACATTCTCAATCATCCCCTCTCGCTTCCCTTCAGTCCCAAAATTACTATAAATACTAAACAATTTATTTCTTATAATCGTATTTCAATATTGTATCTTTCTGATCGTGTTTCCATATTGTAATCAATCTTCATTTACATTTCATAACTGCATTTTCATTAATTTCTAATCATTTTATTTAATTTTTCGCGGAAAATATTTCTCATTTGAATATTGCACGATTCCCAGAATTTATTTTTCAGCTTCAAATTGAAATTGTTTATCCTTTTTACATTTCTTTACATTCGGTGTAAACTACATTACATTTGATGTTAATAGTATTTTTCAAAGTGTGTTGCGAATAATTTTTTCATCAAGCTGGAGCTCCTTCCCAGCGTCACGGTCCATTATGGAAATTCATTGAATCCAGGCCATTTGAATTTGCCCCCCCCCCCCCACGTCTCCCACCCCACCGCCTCCAAATGTAAATTCCCTACGTACCAATTCCATAATTACTTTCGCATAATACGCATTAGTATGTATTACACATTCGCTAGGACGCGCTAAATCGTCTGCATTAGCGACGGTAAGCAGCCAATAAGAATTCACTTCCTAAGAACGTCCCTTAGAAATGAAAATAGACTCGTGGTTAAATCTTGGCGACTATATGCTCGATTTTACTACTTACGAAACGAGCCACTTTCGAAATTACGCATTTTCAACGGATTTGAAAATGGTGGCGTAATTATTCTAATGGATTGCAATATACAGTAAGCTAATTAGAGGTTAGGTTTAAAAGCAGCCTCCAGGTTGTACCCCGTCGTCTGTCATTTGCTAATCACTCTGCCACGACACGTGCGTTTTCTCTTAATATGTATAATAACGGTCTTCTAGCGCTAATAATAATAATGGTAATTACGTCGGGAAACTGAAATGGGAATGCAGGGGTCGTTGAACGAAAATTTTCCCCTCGTTACATAGTTTGCAAATAAAAAGGAAAGTTTAAATCACGCATCGCGCGCCGTGATATGATTATTGCACAACGACGAGCTAATTAACGCGACACGGTAATTTAATTAATGCTCCTCGTAACGCGCGATGACATTAGTATTTTCATTGCGTTACCAGCCAGCCAACATTGCGGTATTAGTTGTTAAAAGTGCGCATTGCGATGCACGTCGCTGCGGACAGGGCTTTAGGAAAATCCAGCGGCGACGTGACGCGTGTTGCGCAATTGGGAAAGCAAAGGGTGACGCAAAAGTAACCTGACCCAGAATTTTCAACTCGTATCAAAATGACGTACACTTGTAGTTTCCATGTCAAGCTTTTATTTTGTTGACGCTCCCACTCGCTGCATTGAATCATTTTCAAAGTCTGTCGATAAAAAAAAATTTGAACGTACTCCAGAATTTTCTATTTCACCATACTGGATGTTTCGCAAGTCGAAACGTATTTTGATATGTTTATTCTTACGTAACGAGGACAAAGTTCAAGGAATTTTTATTAAACCACTCTCTAATGTAAATCAAATTTATTTTTCTTTTAATATGTTATGAATATTCTATTAAACCCTCTATTTCTATAATTTCATTATCGGAAATGTGTGTTAGTTGTATATCACCCTGTGCAATTTTCAGGAATGCAATTAAGCGCGTACCACCTTTATCGCGATACTAACGCAGAAGGGAAGCCAATAATTTCCCTCATCTGCAATTGCGTAATAGACGAATTCGAATTCCTGTAGTCTTGTGACGTGTTTACTGTAGGAATTTGTTTCCTCGTTCACTTCAGTTTCAAACTTGGACTTCATTTCTGACCCTATTTCGGATGTTACAAAATATGCAGTTTTCAGGGAAGCCGGTTTATCATTCGCACGTGTCTCATACGTGATCCGGGTCAAAGGATAACTTTCCAGAATATGGAATTCACATACGACACGTGAGAAACGAGATCTATAAACATTTTGACGCGGTAGGTTTACGTTTGACCACACCAAAATTGAAAGAAAAGCGAACGTCCCAATTGTTCGACAAATTATTGACTATCATCACTTCGAACTGTACTAGACAGCTTTGTACACTATTTTTGATGTAGAAATTAATATGATAGGATGAAGAACTTAAGGGATGAAAATAGTATCTTTCTTCTCTTTTATAAAATAAACAAATTCCTTAATTATTTATTATTTTGATTTATACAGTATGTCTCGCGAAATATTAAAGATACGAAATAATCGGCTGTCCAGGATTTCGTGGGATATACTGTATATACTATCGTAGTATTAATTTTCTATCGTGTATTCAAAATTCTTTTCAGCATCATCACCACTTCGACACTCACAATAACCCACCCTACAAGTTTTCCACACACTGTAGTCACAAAACACAATCCATGGATGACAAAATTAATCTCAGCCCGGAACTCATCTTGCCAATTAAAAAATAATGACTCCTAGCTCACCAAAATAACTCACCTCCAAGTTGGTTTCAAATCTACCATTTCTCCTGGCATTGAATGATCACGAAATCCTATCACGAGATTAGACCCATCCTCGATTACACGTGTTCAACACGAGATAAAATTCCCGGGTCCCCATCAAAATCGTATCCAGATCCAGAACAATGGCTAAACGATGTCACAATCTATCTCCCCGGCAATCACAAAATTACCATGTTTCATCAATCACTCTTCGATCGCGGTAGGGAATACCCTGGTCGTGGAAAACGTTGGGGCAGACGGTAACTACTTCATCAGTGTTGGATTAATCCTGGATGCGTTGCTTTCAGTGTCTCATCAGTTACATTAAACACTGTGACATCCGCGGCCGCGCGAACGCGCGCCAGCCGCTTTCTCCGCGATGAATAATTGAAATCAGCCACGCACTGCTCGTGAAAGGAGGGCCGTCCACGATCGATAGCCTATCGCGGGCTTCGCTAATAATTAGGTGAAAACATCGCCTCCTCTCCGATGGGATTATCGATTGTGCGGCACCACGGTTGCATGTAAACCCTGCCACGCGAGTCCGTGGAACACGTAAGGGACCGGTTATAACGTAATATGCGGCCCTCGTTACGTTACATTGTGCAATTATTATGTGACACACTGTCCCGTGAAGTTCGGTTCGCCACGTCCAGTGGTTCTCATTCAATGTCCAAACAGGATTATCCCGAATGTTGGACGCGAATTCGAGATGTAAAGAATCGCGGCTGACTCAACAAATTATGGCTGAGGCCAAAAAATGTATTGTTGCTTGTGCTTTGGGTCAGCCATCTTGAAAATGAAAATTAGAAGGTGCGTTGATCGAATATGCGAAGCCAATTGACGCACAAAGGGGCCAATTAGGGAACGCGTAGGTTGCGTTGCTTTGAATTATGCAATCATCGTGTGATACAGTATTCTGTTAAGAATATTTCACCTATTTCCGTTGTTCTCAACCGTGTGTAAAGTTTTCTTCGCTATCTTGCAGAAATTTGAGGCGTTGATTAATTATACCTTAAAGACAACAGTGCCTCTGAAATTGGACTCCGGGTGCAGTAGTTCTCATTCATTATCAGCTTGAGTTTGAAATGAATAAATAGTACATTTCTCGAATTATGAATATTAGATGAACCGGAAAATAATGTCGTTTTTGCAATTTTAAATACTTGTTTATCATTCATCAGTTCATTGATTTTTATTGATCTGGCATTGGCAATTTGCACACTAGATGGCAAAAGGCTATTGATAACGGGAGCGATTATACAATCAATAATTAAAAATAGAAATTTATAAAAAATTTGTTTCATATAAAAAATCAATTCGTGTACGGCAAACGAAAGCTGTTATTAAATTTATTGTTGTTACGCCATATTTTACTCGGTTGATTCCGTTTCCGAAACCGATATTGCAGCCAGCGATGGCATAACGTTTGAAATTCATCGTTCCGAATGTAATAAATCTAGCAGATTCACGTGCGCAAATTACATTTGAGTGAAAAATATTCGGAAAAACGCGCCCCGTTTTAAATGCCTATTCGTTAAATATTCATTCTAATTTGAAACATTTGTTTCCTGGGAAACAATATTATTCGAGATATCGTACATTCTCCCGGGACAGTTCAATTTTTGATTATGAGTACCAACCATACTAATAGACGATTGAAAATGTACATATTTTTTTTAAAAAGCATTCCACAGCTTTTCCATCCTTACAAATGTAATTAGACTTGATGGAAACCATGTATATCTTAACTTAATCGACTAACGAGCTAGGGATAGTTACAGTGTTTGATATCAACGCACTTACGCCAATATGTGTGTGAGTCTTAATAGGTGTGCGGATTAGCAACTGCTAATATTGGCTAATTGATTATGTCTGTCCTAGTGCGTTCAAGTTTCGAAGGGCTCAATTTAATGTTTCGTTTATTCTGGTGACATTCAAGAAATTTTTAGAGATCGATCAATTATTTGTAAAAATAAATCGATCCTTTGATTCTATTGTAGAGCATATTATACCTCAAGGAATTCGTACTAAATATTATACTTTGAAGTTCAGACGTTGCAAATATATAATTCAATTATTTGTGGATTATGATGCTATCAAATAATCTCATATCTTGATCCGTCAATTTTCTAATAATTTTGATACGTTCATTTACGCCAAGTCTCTTTGTTTGGTGTTTCAGGGTCTTCAAGATGAGACTCACGAGAGACACGAGTCTATTCCATGAGAATGTTGCCTTCGAGGGATCGAATGGACGGCGAATTGCGTTCGATCCCCTGCACGCTTACAGCGGAACACTCGAAGGTGAGCGAGCGGTGAATTTTTTAAATTTCTCAGTCGAAAGGGAAGTAACTCATCATGGTAGAGCGGGCAAAGACGAACGAACACCGCGAGGATAATTCATTAAAATGGAACCCATGTTGGCGAACATAAAACGAAACCGACTTTTCCGCATTTTAAACGCGATTACGCTCGCTTTGTTATCCGTGAATTCTTAAAAGTTGCACGGTTCTTGAGTGGAAAGGCAAAAAAAAATAATCCCCAGAATGGAATCTGCTTTCATCTGAAAGTGTATTGACGATGTTACTGCTTCCATTCAATCGTTTTTGGTAAATCAGGAATTGTCATCCAAATCGGAGTTAAAAATTTTAGCCATTTATGGATAGCTTAACCCCCTATGGGCTAAATTATTATTTTTGCGGATAATTTGCAAGGCGTTATTTTGACATTTTAGATTGATGCCAACTGTCATAAATATTTTTATTAGTTATCAAACACATTGTATAATTAAGACGTATTCGTCAACTGGTGAAAAAAATTAAATTTACTTATATATTTACGATATATTAGCATGTGATCTGAAAGTTACACGGGCCCATAGAGGGTTAAATATAATGTTCTCGTTTAATTAATGAAGTAACATTGCATAATAGAGTGAGGATCAACTGATACGCTTTTGAAGCCAGGATTAATTATCAATCTGGTCTTCTATGAATAGTCAATTAATTCAGTTAAACCAGGGTGTACGTAAATCGAAATTTATCCAGTTCAAATTTTTATTTCGGTATACTTCGATGGAAATTCATCTAGACAAAACGTGATTCGTTTTTTGGATAAAAGTATGCCGAACTTTGTCGGAAAAGAGTGTATCTTGGCTGCAGGATCAATCCTCGTTCAGCGACGAAAAAATTTACGCGCGTGGTCTAATGAAAGCACTCCCCGGCGCTGGTTCCTGAATCTCGAAGAGCGTGCGAAAAAAAAGGAGAAGGAGAAAGGGGGAAATTCCGGTTGGTCGGCGGTGAAAGGGCCACTCGACGATTCCCTTTCTTCCTTGGCCCAGGATCCTGCCGGTGAAATTAAAATGCAGATAGCGAATCGATTCGCCGCACTCCCGGCTTCGGTCTTCAGTCGATTCTCGGGGCGAAATATCTCGACGATATTAAACCTTACACCGGGTGTTCAACTAGAAACAGACCGCCTCAAAATCTGACTTAACTTCGTCTAATTTTTCATCGCAATATTCGATAGAGTGATTAATTCTGCGAATAAAAATGTAAGGGTCCATCTGTTCTACAACTAACAGCTTCCGAGATATTCGCTGCTGTTATTCGAGTTTCTAGGGGTCTGACACGAGAGAGACTTGAGTCGACATCTCAGTCAATGTCGATCGTAGGGAAAATTTGTACATTACCAAGAGGTTCCTAAATTTAATTTCTAATAACTTTCGTTGTATACATTTTTGCTGTAGAAACAACGATAAGTGAGATAGCGTCCGTTTTATGGCTGGTGCCCCAAATGATTTCCTTTCGCGATAGAATAACGTAATGCTACCTCATTTAGCTTTTAGGCGTGACTTCCAATTTCGTTCCAACTGCTCCAGTCCCTTTCTGCGAAGCTTGAAAACCATTTGATTATATAGATTGTGTGGATATTATAACGGCTTACTGCAAATGGAACGCCCTGTACATTTCGCGAGGGTTTTGGCGCGATAAACCTAGTCGAAGGGATCGACGGATGGTTCGGTACGCAGGGTACACGTGAACGCGTGTATATTAAAGCCACAAGCCGTGCAAAGGCTGACTCTAGATTGAGGAGGAGGAGGAGGGGGGGGGGGAGGTACACGTTCAAAGGAAACACGTATATGTTCTCAACGATCCTTCCGCCATTTGCGTTTCTTCCACTCCGGCTCGTTGTCTTCTTCACTGTAGGTATATCCACGACGGAGTTTCGTTCTCCATAGCTGCTATAGTGTTCCGTCTGTGGAGCGATCCTTTGAAGGATTCTCTAGTCGATGATCATTGTTCGTTGCTTTTGCCATTCGGCGAAATTTCCATGGGACGAGTATTTCCTTGTCTTGTTCTAGGACGACCATGTTTCGTGGACGGAACTACCACGAGAGGAAAAGTTTTCCCCAAAAACTCGAAATTTCAGAAGACCTTTCACTTTCGACTGTCTTAATCACGGAAAGTTGCTTACTGCTAGCGAAATTAGGCCAGCGTTGCCGCTGCCATCGAGCTTTCGATTCAAAATTTCACGAATGCCGTTTAGTTAGCCGTTTCGCCCGGAGTTTACGGAATTATACTGTCTGAAATTGGGTTAGTGGTTTCGGCGCGAAGGCTTGCCCAGAGGGTGAAGATCAAGGTGTCGTTCTATCATAATATCTAAAACTCTCGAGGTCGGTTACTATTTTTTATTGAGATGGTGCACTAAATAGTTTCTTTTTATAGATACTGTAGATACTCAGGTACTTCCACTTTCACGCGGCACACCCTATATATAATAATTTATTCCAAAAACAAGACAGTTTAATTTATCAAATCGTGTCACGAACACGAACGCAACATCTCATCCGTTGCCCGTTACGCTCGCCAAATGCTCGTATCAAACGTGTTTTTCATTTTCTACTATAGACCCCCACCTCCCTCTCTCCACTTCCACCAAAACCTTTCGCTTTTTGTTTTTTTTAAATACGCTCCGGTGTAGCTAGCTTGTCGCGAGCAGATGGCACATAGGTGTTCGAGATTCAAGTCACGCGGACGTTTCTCGCGCGTTTTATTCGATTACGTCGATTTTAAAACGTAATCCCACCCCCACCTCCCCTCCCCGGCTGATGCGCGTAACGAAATTTCAATAACGCGTTACATAACCATGCGACGAACATGCCGAATGAAATTCGAGTTGAACGAAATTGATTTTGGACCTTTAAAGTAAATACATATTCAATTAGCGAATTAGTTTCAACGATCAGAACGTAATGTTCGTAAGAACATTCGAACATGGGAAACGAATTTTGTTGCGTTCAAATGGTAGTTCGACTGAAGGGAATTCGTAAAATCCACCTTTATTTCCGGCTACCTACCCTGCTGAAACGCAAATAAAAAAATACCATCATTTTTTGTAATCAGAAAGGCGGTGTTCCCCGTTAATAAATTCCGAACGAAGCACCGCGGTCGATGAATTTCACCACCGCGACGATTCACCCTTTTCCTCGACTTTTTTTCGCGCGACCTATCGTTCCCCACCACCACCCCCTCCCCCCCTCCCTCCCGGTCTCTCGTTTTTGCTCGCCTGTTCTTTGTTTACTTTAATATTTTTTTTTTTTTCTTTGGACACATTTCGCGTGTTCCTCCGCTTCTGTTCCACGCTGCGCCCCTTTCCCCTGTCTCACCACCCCTCCGCGCCTTTACTTTTTGTATTCGTCGCCCCCCCACCCCTCTCCCATTCCCCTTCCAGTGGCAACGATACAGCAAGCCAAGTGGGTTATTGGATGGTTTCCAATATGCCCGCTCGCTCGACCACTGCGGTACTTTATGCGCCCTCATATCATTTTCACGGTTTTTTACGGGGTGGCGTTGCCCCCGGGACAGGGGTTACTCCCGGCTGGATAATTTTCGATGAACTTTCGGCGGACAGGTTGATTAGACTGGCTGAAAAGTGAGGTAGTTTCGCGGTCAAAGGGTTTATTCGAACTTTCCACCTCTCTTTCACCGTACTCGAAAACCTTTAATATTAATTAAAATACATCATAATTTCTGCTTCTAAGTGGTTCTCACAATACTAATTGGCTTCAGCATGAGACAGAAATCGCTACCTACCTAGCTTTCGAGTGAATTCGTAATGCCCCACTTTGTCACTTCAAATCGGCGACGATCCCATTGTTAACAATAGTCTGAATAGAGTCGTGTTTGGGCTCATTTTCATCGGGAGAACATTACCGATCCGTATATAGCACTTCCACGAACATATAACAACGCGAGAATGTTAATTAATCTACTTAGAAGTACTCCAGCACGCATTTCCCACGAGAAAGCTGTTTGTTCGTAAAGATTTTGTGCAAGTATTTCCGCGGGAAGCTTCGCCGCTCGGTCAAACTTTTCCATTAAAGCAGCGACACTGGGGTTATTTGGGAATTTCATCGAAGATAACGCGAACTATGCGCGTGTAGAACGCATAAATATTCATTGGGGTCCGGCAAAATGAACGTATCGCCGGCGTGGGGGCGCGCCGTACGCGATTAAAGCTACATCCTTGTGATGAGAAAAGGAAAGAAAACCCGGGGCCTCGACGATACATTTTTATAATTAAAACTTCAAAGCTCCGGCAATTCCTGTCGCTTTTCACCCTAATAACACGTTTTTTATGAGCGCCTGCCCAGCAAGGCCGGGATTATGCTCTCCGGGCTTTCCACTGCTGTTTCAAGATTATTAATGAATATTTTAATAGGAGTAGGTAACAGGAACCTGGAAATATTACGCTCGCTCGACCGCAATCAGTTGCATTTCCAAACAGAAGCGTGCTGGGAGTCGTACAGCATTAAAGTATCAAAAGACGTTTCACGATTAAACTACCGCCGTCTCTCTCCTGTTGCATTTTTCCCCCTCATAGAAAACGCGGAAACAAAGGACTGGACGTATTAATTCGAGGATTAATATCCCGTTTCTCGGCGGCATCTGTTTTCCGACACGTCGAAATCCAACTCACCGTTGCCGCGACAATAGAAACACGCCCGCGCAGGGATTCGCATTTATTAACTACCTCGTGTTAATTAAACTTGTTGCGTCCATGCACTAATCAATCATTGAATTACAAGAGCTCCGGACGATTCATTTCCGTTTAATGGGTTTAATTACGTTTGATCCGTCGATGTCCCAGAATGTTCTTCTTTTCACGTTGATATCATATTGTACCTTATCCTCTAATAATCCCGGGAATCCTATATTACAATATATATTTAACATATTCAAACAACGCGTTCCCGGATTCAACGCGGGTATTGATATCTCCCGTCATTATTTCAATGAAAG